AAAACTTCCCGTACCGTAATGAAATATTCGAAGAAAAAAATCAGTGATCAATAAATACTGATTAATAATTTACAACAATTGTTTTAAACATCTTCAAAAAGATAATTATAATCATAAAATATACAGTGATGATCTTATCGCTCAAAACACTTGAGAATGTTTACATTAGCAAGAGATGCCGAATGAATCCATCTGAGGATATATTTCTTACGGTAAGAATAACGCATTTGAAATGTATGTATTTTCAAACTGAATTGTAAATTTAAAATTCATATTTGAAGTATAAAACTTTGTATATTTTTGATTTTTTTTTTGATAATTTTGAAATTTGCTTGAACCGTATAAGTAAACTTTAAAAATTATCAATCTTGGTACGGAACCCATCAAAATTGTAACAAAATTAGTACTCATTTTTAAAATAGTTATCATACATCTAATATGTCTAATGATAATTTTTGACCGCCAAATATCAATTTTTTTTTTACGTTTTCCTATGTATCTGCGAAACCGCTAGACCTGCTTTGGCAATAATTTTTTTTTTATTATTATTTTATTGGCTTTATAAACTGGTACATTAGCCATATACTATATTACATAATATCTACACTATCTCTTACATATATATCATTGTTTTATGTATATTGCATTCATAATTTTATATTATTTGATTTGATGTAAATATAAAGAGCTCCATATAATCTTGTATCTGTCAGCACTGTTATAAAATTAATTGGAAGTGATTGGCAATAATTTAATCAAATTTTCATTTTCTCAATACAAGTACAATGTTTTTTGAATCATTCAAATCGGTTGATTCGAGAAATCAACCGATTCGAAATCGTGAACGAAAAATTGTATCCGCACACAGACACGTACATCAAATTTTTCTAAGGTATGCCAAAATGTTCAGAAACCTTTGAAACGTAAAGATATGCAAAAATGTTTGCAATAACTATAAATTACCTTATGGGTTAAGTTAACAAATAAGACTACGATGAAAATTTGCTATTCATAGCGCTCTAATTTTATTCTATAAATAAAAATAAATAAATTTTAAATAAATAAAAATAAAAATAAATTTTATAAATTCTATAAATTATGTTTTCTTAATATTAGCAGTATATCAATGTGTAGGTAGTCTCAAAACTGGCAAAAAACTATAGTTAAGGTGCTTAAATGAGAGATTATTCAAACTTTTAGTACAGTCCACGTCTGAAAACTAACCTCCAAATGGCACGAATATCAAAATAACATAAGTCAAACTTCATGCCTCTTATTAATGAATGAAACTTCAGAGTAGTTCATATTTCGAATGCTTAATGTTGTCCCAATATATATATATATATACAGTGGCGTCGGAACCGTGTGGGCTGTGTGTGCTTGAGCCCACCCATGAATTTTGATGGGGGGCTCAGCCCACCCATCAATTTCAAAAAATTATATGGGATAATATCTCTAAGAAAAAAAAACGAGACCACTGGCTGCCTATCTAAAAAAAAAAAAGACGAGCACCCATCAAAAATTTGGTTCCGACGCCACTGTATATATATATATATATATATATATATATATATATTAATATGTATGTATATACATATTTAAAATATTTTGAAGCCCAATCGTCGAATTAAAAGAAGATTAAAATAGAAAAACTCTTTATTCTATTAAACATTTTGACACTTAATGAGTGTCATCATTAGTATCAAACCAGGAAAAACACAAAAAAATATAAAATATAAAAAAAAATTAATTCTATACGCTTTAAATGGGCATTATATTGCTCTTTTAATTTTTCCTTTTTATTAATTATCTATTAATTATAGTTATGTTATTCTTAGACACAAGTTTAGTGTTTTCAATAAATTTTATATTTTTTGTGTTTTTCCTGGTTTGATACTGATGATGACACACATTAAGTGTCGAAACGTTCAATGGAAATGGACGATTGAGCTGCAAAAATACTTCAAATATATGTACATAATATATCTATATATATATATATATATATATATATACATTTACATCTTCAACCAGTCTACGAATAACACACTATCCATTTGTGATTTTTTCAAATCAGTATTTTGTGAAAATATTGTGTAATTTCAAGTTAATGTTTATAATACATAGTGTAGTGCATTACCATATCCTAATACCATGGATTATTAAATATTTCCAATTTAACAATAAGATCAACTAATTTTTCCACTGAATGAAGGCTAGGATTAGCCGAACGTATGGATTTAAAATAAATTTTTGAAAGAAATTCATGTTTTTTATTGATGTTATGCCCGATTATTAGACTTTGTTAATACATATGTCAACATCAAATTCAGAATCATACAATATATATATATATATATATATATATATATATATATATATATATATATATATTTACAAAACACAGTATATAATTATTAGAATCTCAATAATGCATGATATGTGTTTGGCAGTCGACACTTACTAATGGTTTTTCGATATAATCCATTATATATAATATATATATATATATATATATATATAATGTATATATCAAATATACAAAAGGCGTGTTTTATATCAATGACAATACGTATAGCCTATAAACGTATAATTATTTATACATTTGTGACACAAAAACTGTAATTTTTTTTTCGTAAGTAGTTCTTCGAAATTGGACAGAAAATTTCCTCGTACATCAACCTTTTGGGAACATTTTCTCTAATGATAATATAATCATAATATATATATATATATATATATATATTATAAATAATTAACTAATTACTATGCACGTTTTTACACAATATGTATGTAATCATTAAGCACTTGAACAAATTTAAAAAAAATATTTTACAAAGTCTTAAAAAATTTCTAGGTTAACTACAAGATATAGTAAATTAAAATATCAATACATACCAAAGCAGGAAAAAACACAACACACATATTTTAAAGACATTGTTTAATGAAAAAACACACTAATAGAATAAAATAATTATTAAAAATTTAAATAATAACATTATGTAGTTAATCATTGACAATTGACAAAACACGCCATATTGGAACGAAGGGGTTCACAAAAAGTTGATGCAGGTTCGAGTTCTCGGAAAAACTTGCAGTTTGCAAGAGAGTTTTAACAATGATGTAAAGGGGATAAAGGAAAATAAAACAAAGCATTAGATAATAGATTTTTTAATCTTTCTAATACTTTGTTTTATCATTGTTAAAACTCTTTTGCAAACGGCTAGTTTTTCCGAGAACCCGATCCTGCATCCACATTTGTGAACCCCTTCGTTTTCTATAAGGCATTGCTGTGCATTTTGGGCGCCATTTATGAATTGGCAGTAATGTGATTAACTACATAATGTTATTATTTAACTTGTATTTAATTATTTTATTATTCTATTCATTAAATAATGTCTTTAAAATTTGTGTCTTGTGTTATTTCCTGCTTTGGTATGTATTGATATATATTTTATACTTGTTATATCTTCTTTGAAAAATATTTTTTAGAATTTGTTAGCGTGCTTAATGATGTCACATATACAGTGTCAAAATGTACATAATAAATAATTAATTATTTTTTGCTTTTTATTTCAAAGAATCTTCCATTTACGTGACAATGATTTGCAAAAAATTAATAGAAAATCAAACAAATGCATTTTCTATGAAAATGCATCATACATGCACAAATAATAGGCGAATGCATTATCTGATTGGAATCGATAATGACATATCAGTCTTTTTTTTCTTCTTAAAGCGTCAATATTGACAATCGATCGATTTAAAACGATATTTTTTTACATTAAACTATTCAGAAAATAGATAATATATAGCATACACTTTTAGAACACAAATTGGAATCAAATGTTTTATATAAATTGAATTAAATTAATACAATTATATATATTACAACTCTGTTCGATTAGAAATTGTATTGATAGGTCACCATATTTTTTAGAGAGCTCGTTAGGATACACGAATTATAATAGGGAGCCGTAATTCTAGTATAAAACAAAATGACAGTTTATCTGGACTGGATATATAAAATAAATATTCTATATATATATTTTTTAGAATGACTAACAATTATATTCACATTTACTTCTCTAAAGAAGTATCTTTGTAAAGGTTTGTTGAAGAAATTGTTTTTTTTTAATTTTAATGAAATAATAGAGCAAAATATCTACTAATTAGGCCTACAAAATGCCTAATCCAAGTCAATGTTATCTGGTTTCCCCTATACTAAACCAAAAACAGTGCCCGGAACAAAAAATGTCTTGTAATTAATTATAACTTGAAAATATAGTGCGATTTCTAACTCACTTTATTGAAAATTTTATATACGAGTAAATTGAAATATTTTCATGAGAATGTAGTAAATTTTATCTAGTTTCTCATAAGCTAAATAAAAAAGAATGTCCAAAACAAACTTTTCATGTAATTCAAAGAAATGTAGAAAAATGTCTAACACTTCATATAATGCAAATTTATTAGTCACTTTATAGTTGCGATTTCAAATTGGTTTTATTCAAAATTTTGTACTGGAGCATATAAAACTATTTGTAAGAATTTATAGTAAATTTTATCTAGTTTCTCCTGAAGTAAATCAAAAAGAGTGCCCGGAATAAAATTTTCATGTTATATGAAAAAATGTAAAAAATGTCCAAATCCATATATTGTCCATATTTGCCAAAAGGTAGAAGGGCGTTCAAATTATTTTATTCAAAAAATTTTGTATTCGATTATATAAAATAATACATATGTAATTGTAAATTTTATCTAGGTTCTACTGAACTAATTATACAAGAGTGCTAGAAATAAAAGTGTTGTGTTATTTAAATAAATGTAGAAAAATGTCCAACTCTTCATATATTGAAAATTTTAGTCACGATATAATTGCGATTTTAAATTCATTTAATTTGAAATTTTGTATTCAAACTAATTGAACTGATTCCATGAAAATATACTATATTAAAACTAGTTTCTCCTAAACAAACTGAAAAAGAGTGCCGAAACAATTTTTTTGTATGAACCAAATAGACGTAAAAAAAAATTCTATATGTAATAATATGTATTACGAATATATAAAATGCGTCTTCAAATTAGTTAGAATAGTTTATGTAAATATGTAGTAAATTTTATCTAGTTTCTCATAAGCTAAATCAAAAAGGGTGCCTGGAACAAATCCTTCATGTTATATAATAAAAATCAGAAAAATGTCCTACTCCGTATATTGCAATTTACACAATACATAAATGCATTTTCAAGCTCGATTTATTCAAATGAATAATAAAAAATAATAAAATAAAATTTTGTATTCAGAAAAAATAAACTATTGATAAGGATTAGTAGTAAATTTTATCTAGTTTCTTATAAGCTAAATGAAAAAAATGTGTTTGGAACATACTTTTCAAGTTATTTAATAAAATATAAAAAATATCTAACTCTCTATATATATAATTTTAATTATAATTAAGTGTATAAGTGCGAGTTCAAATGCGTTTTATTCAAAATTTTGTTTGAGAGCATATGAAACTGTTTATAAGAATTTGTAGTCAATTTTATCTAGTTTCTCCTAAACTGAATAAAAAATGTACCCGGAACAAACTTTTCATATTATTTAATAAAATGTAAAAAAATGTCTAGCGTGAAAATTTTAGTCTCAACATAGTTGTGATTACAAACGCGTTTTATTCACAATTTTGTTCTGGACCATATAAAATTATTTATAAGGCTTCTTAGTAAATTTTATCTATTTTCTGCTAAACTAAATTAAAAAAAGTGCCCGGAACATATTTTTCATGTTATACCATTAAGCGTAAAAAAATCCATATATTCTCACATAAACACAGTTTTAGTGATAAATCTCAATTGTTATTCATTAATGAGCCGAATCTCGGATAAAACAGAAATGTTACGGCAATCCTACGTTACGGTCTTATCTCGGTAGTAAAAATTGTCAAAATGTTATGTATTTTCTGTGCAACTAGGCGTTTTACACATAAAACCTAACCTACAAAATGCGCAACCACAAATAACAATTTTAACACAAGTGCATTTTTCTGATGTCTCTTTGATAACATACGTGAAGCTACATTTCATACAAAGATAAACCTGTAACATAGCGTTGCCAAAACATTTCTTTACCCTAGAATTGGCATCTAAATCGATTATTTTCACGTATCAGCAAGTGCATGCAACTTGCCTCAAGGCACAATGCCACTTAAAACTAGTATAGTTAATCAAATTATTAATTAATTAATTATTTTCCTCAGATGTTTCCCGAGCCGGTTTCGGCCGGCCGAGTCTGCCTCGGCAAAGTGGCGCGCGCCCTGGAAATCGCCAAGTACGCGGCTGATGTACACAGTCTGTGAGTTCGGAGAGGACATTTTTTTACATTTTTTAAAATACCACGAAAATTTTGTTTGGGACACTATTGTTAAGTTAGCTTAGGAGAAACTAGATAAAATTTAGGAAAATTCCTTATAAATAGTTTTATATGTTCTAGTACAAAGTTTTGGATAAAATGACTTTGAAATCGGTTGATAAAGAATATATATAAGGTTGTCAAATATCTCCCTTCCGCCTTTTTGTATTATAAACGAAGAGCAAAAAAGCGGAAGGGAGATATTTGACAACCTAATAGATTCGGATACATATTGTTACATTTTATTAAATAACATGAAAATTTTGTTCCGGGCACTCTATTTGATTTAGTTTAGTAGAAACTAGATAAAATTTACTAAAATCCTGCGTAAATAGATTTGTGAGCCAAAATACAAAATTATGTTTAAGAAGCATTTGAAATCGCTATTATGTAGTGACTTAAATTTTTAATATATGAATGGTTAAACATGTTTTTGCATTTTATTAAATAACATGAAAAGTTTGTTCCGCGCACTCTTTTTAATTTAGTTTAGAAAAAACTAGATGAAATATACTACAATTCTGCACAAATAGTTTTATGAGCTTCAATACAAAATTTTGAATAAAACGCATTTGAAATCGCAATTGTATAGTGTCTAAAGTGAATATATGGAGTGTTGGAGGCTGTTTTTTACATTTTATTAAATAACATGAAAAGTTCATTTGAGACACTATTTTTGATTTAGTTTAGCAGATACTAAATAAAATTTACTAAAATTCCTTATAAATATTTTTATATGCTCCAAAACAAAATTTTGTATAAAACGCATTTAAAATCGCACTTATTGGTGATTAAAATTTTTAATGTATGAAGAATTGGACATTTTTTTAAAATTTATCAAATAACATGAAAATTTTGTTCCGGACATTCCCTTTAATTTATTTTCGTAAAAACTAAATAAAATATATTAAAATTCCATATAAATAGTTTTATATTCACTAATACAAAATTTTGAATAAAACACGTTTGAAATCGCAATTAAATAGTGACTAAATTAGTAATATATGGAGAGTTGGACGTAATTTTTTACATTTTATTAAATAACATGAAAATTTTGTTCCGGGCACTCTTTTTGATTTACTTTAGGAGAAACTAGATAAAATTTATTACGATTCCTTATAAATAGTTTTATAAGCTCTAGAACAAAATTTAGCTTAAGACGTGTTTGAAATCGCACTTATATAGTGATCATGTAATATATGGAGAGTTGAACGCTGTTTTTTCACATTTTATTAAATAACCCGAAAATTTTTTTCCGGGCACTCTTTTTTGATTCAGTGTAGTAGAAACTAGATAAAACTTACTAGAATTCCTTATAAATAGTTTTATATGAATTTTCTTCTTTTCATTTGAATTCCCACTTATATTATAGTGACTTAAATTTTTATTATATGAAGAGTTAGGCATTTCCTTACATTTTATTAAATAACATGAAAAGTTTGTTTCGGGAACTTTTTTTAAAATCAGTTTAGGAGAAACTAGATAAAATTTAAATATACATTGCGTAAATTTCAATATGTGAATTTGGACCATTTTTTTGCATTTCTTTGAATAGCACCAAAAACTTTGTTCCGGGTACTCTTTTTAATTCAGTTTAGCACAAACTAGATAAAATTACCTACTAATAATAAGATAAAGAGTAATCTTATGAATTTCAGCAGATTATAATTATAATTAACGACGTATGTAATTGTTTATAATTATAATGAATGATACGACTAAAATTCTAAAACAATAGATTTTCGCATTCATTTTGTTAGTGATACTTCCTGGAATCAATTTTTTTTTGAATGTATATATATATGTACATTTATATATATATATATATATATATATAACATCTATATATATATATATATGTAGCGGGTTGCCAACACGCATAGCGGCTTGTCAACACGCATCACATGTCTCTGGACAGATTGGCCCATATAGTGACAGCACTGAGAAAAACAAAAATAAATTCAAGTGTCAGATCGGACACGGTTTTTGTTTCTCCCTAGTCGAACTTGCCAAAATGTATAATTTTCAAAACCTTTCTTTTTCTATTATAAATAAGAAAATACCAATCACATTTTATTAACGATAAATATGACAACACATAGTGTCGTGGATATTAATCATACATAAAATAAACCAAATATAAATAATATATCATGGAATTTATTATGACTATAATTTGGACAATTCCGGTATTTCTACAATATGGAGCACGCCTCCATATATATATATATATATATACATATAAATATATAAATATATATATTTTGCGTGCAAATGCGCAGTTTTATCGTAGAACAAATATAATTACTTATCATGCTATCCCTTAATCGAATAATTATATATATATATATATATATATATATATATATATATATATTATCTTTTATATATATAAAAATAAGTCGGGTTTTCCTTCCTGACGAAATAACTCCAGAACGCATGAACCGATTTCGACAATTTTGCATTAAAAATTCGAGTGATGACATTAGTGAGAATTATCAGAATTATGCTTGGTTAAGTTAACGAGCAATTCTTGCCGCAAGAAATAATGATGTACACGCACTGAATTTCACCATTCAATCAAAAATTGCTGGCGATTTGGTGACATACCAATGATTCCGACTGGTCTTCCATTTGACTTCAAACGATTGCAATTTCCAGTTCGCCTTGCGTTCGCAACAATAAGTCGCAAAGCCAATCGCTTAGTGTTTGCGGGATAAATTTCAAATAGATTATTTAGAAAATCATTGTTTTTCACATGGGCAGTTATACGTTGCCTGTTCACGAGTTGGAAATCCATCAGCTTTGTTTGTGTTAACCTCAGACCAAAAAACAAAAAATGTGGTTTACCAAAGAGCACTTCAATAAAACGGATAATTTGCGGTTTCACTTTCATTTACTTAGAGAAGTTCAACTAAAAAACACTTCATTTTTGTAATCGAAATTAATTCATTACTGTTGTGTAATAAAATCAAATTTTTCCTTCTCATATATAAAACAAACAAAAAATTTCTTCATCTTTCTCACGAAAGTTCAGTTCGTCGGGTTTGCTAGTGTATATATATATATATATATATATATATATATAAACTTTACTATTATTATAAAAACTGATAAGAGTCGTTTACAAATTTTACTTCCTTCCTTTTTTATTTATTAATTTATTAGTTTGTTCGTCAGTAGAGTCCATTTCTATGTGTCTGTACTGTTGACATGATTCAATAGAATAATTAATTAAATTCATGCAAATAATTAATTAACACTAGAAAGACGGACGCAGTCATTTTGACTGTTTTCCATTTTCAAACATAAAAATTACTATGTATTTGAAGTCGCAGCTTCGTGAAATTTTGTGACTTTTTATACAACATATAAATGCGTAGATAAATCGTATTATTTGCCTTATCTCACTTTTATTTTCAATATTCTTACATGTTATGCCTGCATGGACGGAACACAGTCATTTTGACTGCTCTAGAAATTTTATATTACAAACGGCTTTGTTATTGTATTGCAATAGTTATCTCGCGTGCATTCATCTCTAATATGCGATAATGCATTTTTTATATAAAAAACCGAATTTTGGTAAGTATTGACATTAGACCGGTCTTTTTCGCGTAGTAACTTTCAGTATAACGCGTTGTTCAGTTGATTTTTTAGAACTTATAAATAAAATGTCGAAGAGAAGTGAATTATTGCAAAAGCTAACGAGCATAAGTAAAGAGTGTTCCGACATAGAATCAAATGCAGAAAATTGGGCACAATCATTTGATGATGAATTGGATTATATTCACGTGAATCATCTAATTCTGAGGGTAGCGATGAAGGTGATAACTATTGATGAAAATGAAAGTGTATGCAGGAGGGTGCTAAGTGGCCCAGAAACTGATGAAAGAATTCAAGGAACAGAAACAGCTCTCGATGGTACTGTATGGACAAAAATTGCCGAAGGTGGTACTCCAGGAAGGTCATCATCTGTGTTTTCAAGGGTGTGAAAGGGCCAACGAGCTTTTCAAAAAAGAATATTATTACAGGTGATCTTGTCAGTGCATTTCGTTGATAATAGATAATTATATTATCAAACACATAAACAGTGCACAGAAGAAGAGGGCAGTCAAATTTTGGTGTACGATTGGACAACATCGTTACAGGAAATATTGAATGCATTTATTGGAATTTTATATGCTTGTGGGGCCTATGAGGCAAAAAATTTGAAATTGACTTACTTATGGTCAGCAAAGAAGACATGACAGATTAAAGGTAAAGAAAATATACCGTGAAATACCACGTAGTTCACGTAGATGACCCCTGCAAATATTTTTCAATATTTTGGATTTGGCTGCGATAAATGCCTGGATTCTTACAAAGAAGCGACTGGAATAAAAATCCGAAGAAAACAAATCCTTAGAGAACAGTTTTTGTTTGAATTGGCAGAACAGCTTTCCGCGGACTACACGACATCAACACAAAAAAAATCAAAGGAAAATGATGACCCACAGACATCATGCACATACCAGTAGTAATAAAAGAAAATTTGCCAAATAAGACTTTGTAATAATAATAAAACTAATAATACGTGTCAATTTGCAACAAACATATTTGCGGAAATGTACTCATAAAAGATCTCAAATTATATTTGCATAATTTTAAAAATAATGAACTTTTTTGTCAGATGAACTATTTTTTTATTTTTAGCACTCATAGATAATTTGTATAAATGTAAATAGTACATGAAATAATAAAAATTAATTTTAAACAAATTTCTAAACGCATTATTTATTTTTTTCACGACGCAGTCATTTTGACTGTTTTCAGGCAATGTAGGTATACTCAATTCGTCCGTCTTTCTAGTGTTAATTAAATATAATGACCGAATTGAATGCAATAACAATTTTAATCTTCCTGTGTGAGCAATGATTTTCGTCTTATTCACTTCCTTAATGAATATTCATTATGAACAAAATTAATTTTAATGATTAAGTATTAAAAGAACAAAAGATGGCGTTAGATTCGTAGAAAAGCGATATATATATATATATATATTATAATATATATATATATATATATATTTATATACAGAAAAATTATTCTTATGACAAATATATCAAAGACATTCCCGCGCTTGTTTACTTCATTTTTTATAACAACAAAAAATATACGAGACAATAGAATCATTCGCCAATTATATATTTAAAATCGTCTACAACGTTTTATTTTACATAACTCTGTAATTATGACAGATTGATATCCGACATGGATATTCCAAAAAATATTCCACAAGAGGATATAAATACGTAAACACACACACACTAGTAATAGATATGAAAAAATAAAATAAAATAACACACACGAATATAAAACAATCACACGAAAAATGTTTGTTTGACTTTGTTAATGAAAAGTTCGATATTGGTTCAAATCTATACTAAAGTTGTACCACACTGCCCTCTATCGTTATAGAAAACGATAATTTTTAACAAAATGCCATCGCTAACACATTGAAGAAAATTTAATTGCAACCACATATGAACTGGAATGAAAAAAAGAAACGTCTCGACAGATCTTAAAATAAAAAACAAACTTTTATATTAAGCTTAAATATTTTAGATTAAACAATTATAATTATACTACAATTATCAAGAACTAAAAAAAATATCAATAATTTATACAGTAAATATGCATAATTCCTCTTATTTTTCATAAATTAGTTCAGTTTCAAACCATTGTTATAAACAAATAACTAAATAATATATATATATATATATATATATATATATGAATAAATATTATGAATAAATAACTAATAAATATATAAAATAAATTTATATATTTATGTGTCTCTGTATATGTGTTTAATAATAAATATATATAGTATAATTTTTATCTCTAGTGATAATTCAAGTCCCTGAAAATAAATTATATCCGAATCGTTATTTTTCGGGGGTAGTAATTTTTCTATTTAAATCCATTTTAGATTTTATCTCGACAACTATTAATTCTGATTTCGTGCAAGATTTAATGGGGATTGTATATATGAATACATTATAATTATTAATGGCTTAATGGAACATACGTAATATATATATTATATATATATATATATATTATATATATATATATATAGATTGTAGTTAATTTTTTGTTCCATCAGACGCAATTTCCTAAAACAATACGAGTTTGAAATTATCCACGGACTTTCCGGACTCTTACATAACAAATTCCTGCTTTGTTTTTGTTCTCTCAATTTTGCCAAAAATAATAATCGATTTAAAATATACACACGGCACATACATACACTTACATGCATATTAGATCACTAATGATACCAAACATTCATACAAAAATATTTAAGAAAATGAGCAACCTAAATTAAATTAAATAACTATAATTATTTCGCAAAATCCCATTCGCAAATTTTACAGTTTCGGAATCATTCATAATTGAATTGAAATATAAGTGAAAAAATATTGAATTACTTGAAAAATTTAACAATACTCAATGAAATCTCGTTTTTTATTTAAAGATGTGTCGTGGCGTTTCTTTTCTAATAACGGTTCAAATATTTTTTCAATTTGTTTCTTAAAAATAATTGTTCTGGGCAACGATAGAGGGCAGTATGATACGAAATAATCATAGATTAGAACCGAAATTTAATAGAAGTCCATTTAATTCTTTTTGTAAAATTATATAATTCTAACTTAGCCCGTATTCCCTTTGATTCAAAGCTAATTATGCTTTTACTCTAAGGCAAACTAATGACAAAAAAAGCAGAAGGATTACGTAACTCTAAGCTATATATTTCTCCGTTTTAGCCAATTATATAATCCTAACTCATATCCTTTATAATTTGAGATTAATTATCTACTGGATTCTTCCTCCGATCAATCAGTTTGCATGTCAATAGAGTCCTTTTACTAATGGCAAAATATAATATTTCACTAGATTTTTTACTGAGATCACCAAAGTCAGTTTGCTCGTCAGTAGAATCCTTTTTATTAATTAGAAATTATAATATTTTACTAATTTTTCTTATCAAGACCATTGAGATTAGTCTGCTCTACAGTAGAGTTCTTTTTGCTTGTTACTAGATTTTTTATTCAAGTCGTTGATGATCAGTTTGCTCGTCAGTAGAGTCCTTTTGTCTGTTGATAGTAGCAATTATTTACAGGATGCTTCTTCTTTTTTGTGTAGTCCTAGTTCTTATGTATTTTCAAACCAGATTACTTTCTCTTCAACTTGCTCTATAACTTTCCCTAAGAGAATTAAATAAAAAACTACAAGGATAACATTACTCTAATACCTTTTCTATCCTATTATATAATCCTAACCTATATACTTTTTATCTAATTATATAATCCTATCATATATTCTCTTTTAACATAATTTTTAAACATTTACACTTGCACAAGAAAAATCAAAATCTAATGAAAACTAATGGTACATAGCATCGTGTCTTTAGGAAAATTGCTGGAACTTCCCGTTCCGAAAACTAAATTATAAGAAAAAATTTTGAAAAAATTAGATTTTTGAGAAATTTTAGAATTTTTTGAAAAAAAATTGAGAAATTTTGATATAAAAATATTGTGATTTTTTTGTATTTTGATTTTTTTTTAAATCATGAACATTTTTTCAAGCACAAATCAGCCTCTCCTTATCAATAGGAATCGAAAGTTCTTTGAATCATTGAATTGTGTAGAACCGTGTTCCTGAAATCGTCGACGAAAATTTGTATCCGCACACACACACACATACATCCATTTTTTCTAAGGTATGCCAAAACGTTCAGAAACCTTCAAAACGTCGAGAAATGTAAAATTTTTTAATTTCGATTTTCGGCCCATTACAATAACTTACCCTAAGGGAAGTGAATTAAACCATTACATAATCTAACCTAAATCATTTCTCCCCCAATTACATAATCCTAACCCGTATCCTTTCAATCCAAGGTCATTTCCGATTTCGATTCCAAATCTCTTACCTTATCTGATACACGTTTTCCGGCGTGTTAATTTACTAAAAAGAACGAAAATTTACTTGTAAATTATTATTATTTACTATTTATAGTACACACAACCATTAATATATACCTCCATTTGGGCACAAACTACACGTGGTCAAGTAATTACCACTCGGATTTAATTGGCTTTTTGCCGAATTGCCTTTTCGTGTACGGTAAAAGAGATTTTGAGAAATCATTATGGTAAAAGTAGATAAAAAATAGAATTAATAAGATTCATTTGTATATGACTCGATAACAACAATTTGTAATGACCGATTTTGACTAGCAAATGGCATTTTTCCAAAACATTTTTTCTGTACTTCTAAACCGCTGGATCTACCTATTTAAAAATGTAACTAGTGGGGCGCATGGCATCGTGCCTTAAGGAAAATTGCTGGAACTTCCCGTACCAAAATTTTTCTTTTTTTAAAGATTAACATTTTTAAAAAAATTTACTTTGAAAAATTATATTTTTGAGAAACTATAAATTTTTGACAAAAATTTACTTTTTTTTGAAAAAAAGACTTTTTGAAGAAAAGTGTATTTTGAAATATTTTGGAAATTCTGAACTTTTCTTCAAAGCAATCGTACTGCTTTAACTGCATAGAGACAAAATATCAAAGCGCGTAAGCGCCGCGCCGACGTCTAACGGGTAAGTATTGGTACGGAACCGATAGGAAAGTAAACAAATTTTATACTTACTGTTAAAATCTCTATAAAATATCTGACAATTTGATGTGCATATGTCTAATGATCATTTTTGACCGCCGGATGGCATTTTTTTTACATTTTTTAATAATTCTCCAAAACCGCTAGACCTGCCTTTATGAAAATCTGAGTAGTTCTTCATCTTGATAATACAAGTAAATGTTTTATTGAATTATTCAAATCGCTTCGTCCGTGTTTCCGAAATCGTCGACGAAAATTTGTATCCGAACACACATACACACACGCACACACACACACACACATACTTTCCATTTTTCCTATGTATGCCAAAATATTCAGAAACTCTGAA